TTTTTTTTTTTTTTTTTTTTTTTTTTTTAATTATTGTTAAAGCTTTTTGTCTGAATTGAAAATGCAATGCAAATGTGTAGTCGGATGTTTTTTCCAGAATTATTTTTGCAATGTGAAGGCAGAAAAGTACAGATCCTGTTTCTGGTACTGTCATGAACAATGACAGTACCAGTATTTGCTTTGTGTTCAAATAACTTTGTGGCTACATCTATACTTGCTTTGGAATTGTAGTATTACAAATGATACAGTACAGTATTGTTGCGGACTGAGAGTCAGAATTTCCTGAGAAAATCTGTTTGTAATGCAGCTTTACTCTTCTGTGTCCCTTTATGTAAGGATACTGATGAACTGAACTGTTTTCATTAAACATGTATTTTCTTAATTCGTTTTTTTTTTTTTTTTTTGAAGATCATGGGGCTCAACATCTAACAAAATTAGATGATGTCAGTTGTAGTCAACACCACACTGTAATTAAATGTGTTAGAACATGTATGTCTTAGAAGTGAGAATTAAGATTCCCATTCCAAATGTCCAAGCAGAAGATAAGTCCAATATCGAAGAGAATAACCTGACCGTTGTGTCATCCAAGTAATTTGAGTTTGGGACCACTGCTGAGATGGTGCGACGCACACATTCAAGTCCAGCCACTTTATTTACAAAGCACATTTAGACCACCTTCACTAGTGATGAATATAAAAGCTGCGATGGCCTAACTGCGCCCTGTCCGAATCTTAAACTCATTTAAATCAAAACATCTTTCTTAGACGATGTTATTACGCTTGATTCAAATCTGCAACTTTAGGCTCAGAAATGAAGAATATACTGAAGTTACCAGTCCCAGCCTTTAATGTTAGTCTAATGGATGGCACATTAAACCAAATGGCCTTAACAACTGCACTGTGTAAGGGGAAAGCAGCATTCACAGGAAATGGCTCAGCACAAGCCCCAGACCAATAGTTCACACTGTGAAAAGCAACTGACTTATTTATATGCATCATTAATACATTATTGCTACACGCATCATTGGCTATGGCATATGTAGCTCATTGCCTAAAGATGTCAGCGTTTGTGCGTCTCAGTCCTTTCACAGCAGATCTTAAATTAAGTAACAAATGGTGACTTTGATCCACAACACAAGCAGACCCACTCTGCTTGTTTTATCGCTGCCTGAATGCAATTCTGTGGTTTCTATTTATGGCTGTGGCGAAGACAGGGTTAACAGTTCATTCAGACTTCAGCAGCTCAATCAGCTGTGATAAGGGAGGGAGGAGGTTAGGGAGAAAGTGTGCGTGGGGGATGTGCTAAAACTGGCACACAGCGAGGAAGGCTGCCATCACCACTGTAATCAGTTTAGATTAGAGAGACTTCACCCCAGATTGCTGCATCTTCACAGAGCAGGGATTTGCTGGACAGAGACGGTTAAAGTGAAACCGATTTATTGGCAAAGAAATATCAAAATGTAACTGTTGTGCTTTGGAGGCATAGAAAATTAATAGATTTAATTCCAGGAAACAAATACCTGACATGTATTTAATGGATTGTTGTAAAATTTGGTACAGACATTCAAGTCGCCCACAGGATGAATTGTAACCACTTTGGTGATTCCCTAACTGTTCATTGAGCACTTTTCATCAAGTCAAACGTTGAATTTTTCCACTTGGTTTTATGTCCAAATATCTGCAAAAATGATGCAACTCCCACCAGCCTCATCGGTATTTTTTGTTTAGTGCTAATTGGCAAAGCTGGTTCCTTTGTGAAGTTCACCAAAACTAATCCAGAGGTCAACATGTTAATCTGGTCCTTTAGGGTGCCACAGAGCAGTAAGCACTCTTCATTCATTCATCTCGTTAATTAAGCATTTGGATTTGAGGGTAAGTACATTTTGTTATTATCAGCACTACAACATTGTTATACAGTTCAGGGTTCATTCGACTACCTGCTTTCAGAGCCCCCTATAATCAAATCCATACATTTTAACTACAGTAATAAGCTGTTAATGCAAAGTGAGGCGGGGAGAGCGTCAGAGATGAAAAACAATAGAGAGAGCCACGGTGAGGGACCAGAGTCTCCTCGGTCTGCTCTGCCGGGCTGTCAGGCTTCATGTGGCCTGTTTGTGACGATGCAATGTGACAGCAATGGGGACAGAGTGCTGGGGGCCATGTCCTTGATGATGAACTCATCCACTACAATCATCACTCTATCTCCCCCCTTTTGTGTGTGCATATAGAAACACCACAACCTCCCCACCAACACACACACACACACACACCACATCCCTCCCAGCCCCTGCAGCACTCAGCGACCTACATCTGGTGTTGGAGAGTGCATGGGGCTAAGGTTGGCCCAGGCCAGACAGTGGGGAGTGTTCACGTAGCGTGTGACGTGTGTGAACAGCGGAGAAGTCTTTCTGTTGAAATAAATGCCCCCAGCTTTGTACCGTACAGAGCTCTGCAAGTTGCGCCCCGTCACATGAACACACACGTGCGGATATAGAGAGCAAGTGCTGATAACATGCACTTAGACCTTAGTGATTGTTGCTGCAGATTAGGTTTGATGGAAACTTGTCCCTTGCTCATCCAACTGCGTGCTCTATAAGTTAATCATGCAGCTGCTCAGGTCATCCATTTAAAGACAGTGGACTCTGCTGCCGAGGGAAGCTTGTTAGTCTGATTAAATATCGTGCTATCTCCACAGAAGGAAGCACTCAGATCCTTTTCTTAAGGACAAGTACCGATACAACAATGGGAAAAAATACTGTATTGCAAGTAGGAGTGTACTCAGAGTCATATTTATATAAAAGTACAAGTATTATCCATAAAAATGTGCTTAAATTATCAAAAATAAAAGTATCCGTAATCGTTTTAACTACTTTATTAACAGGTAGTTACGTCCAGTGGTCACCAAACTGGGGGTCAGGCCCCTTCAAAGGGTCACAAGACACCTGAGGGGTTGTGAGATAATTATAATGGGAGAGGAAATAAGAAAAACAAAGTTCTGCTACACAAATTTGTATTAAACCTTTGCGATTACTCTTGTGCCTTAAACAGTTATTTAAATGAAACCATGTGTTTAGCGGACAAATCACTTTTTGGTGGAACTGCTAGCATTATGGAAATCTGGTTTCCATTCTTCAGACTGCTCTGTGCCTATTGCCAACAAGGCTGCAATTAGGACTTCCGGATGACGAGCATCAACCCCCTGCAGAGCATTCCCTTTGAATAGAACAATTGTTCCTTTTTAATTAAAACTACTGGCTCAAAATAGGTAACTCAAGGAATAAGGTTCATGTTACCATGGTGTCTCAGGTAAGTAAACCACCTGATCATACCTTCCTTTGTGCTAAAGGAGGTCTGAACTTAGACTGACTTTACTCAGTCTGAATAATGAAAAGAAAAACATTTACCCACTATCTCATTATTTTGATGTATCTCATCATAATATTTATTATTTATTTTTTATTATCCGACCGTAAACGGGATCAAAAAGTATTAAATAGAAAAATGAAAATAGAAAATAATGAACAGACAGATAAGTAACTTCAACACTGCAAAAGCTCAAATTGAGGAGGGTTGACAATGTTCTGACATATAGACAATCGATCTCTTATAACCTCAAAGGAAAATAGATTATTCAAAAAATAGACATTTTTCAAAAGAGTAGTAATGACGACAGATATAACAATTTAATCAATTAACATTTAGGAAATATGTAAATTGTATAATATTACACAAGCTATGTTGTGTATTCAATTTCTGTCTACCAGGTGTACATAGTGTACATTTCATCATCCTGCTGTCGCTATAATCATATTGCCATGTGTCCTCTATCAGCACCAAGAAAGACAAACTTTCTGAATGGAAATGATCAGTTTCAGTTGACTTCAACCAAAGCTCAACACCCAATGTTTCAGTGGCTTGGGGGTCATATACTATATATGTACATAGTAATTAGTTACGAAACAGTCTTATATCATTGGAATACAGATTGCATAACTCCCACCAGCTGGACAAGTATCGACACCCACACACACACACACACACACACACACATACACACACACACACACACAGACTCCCTCATCCCTGCAGGTGGATGTTGTGGTGAAGTGTCATGCTAACTGGGTGTACAGAATATTTGAAAAAATTGCTTTAAAGGGGAACTCTTTTTAACCGATTTTAAACATCAGAGTCCGTATACAGGTCTTGAGGAGTACTTCTGCATTTGTACATGTACATGTATGGATGGATGGAGTATATGAATGCATGTACAGTAAAAAAAGATATGCATAACTTCCTTCTTATTCATTGTGTAGACAGTGTAGGTTGTCCATAAATGTTCTTTGAATTGTGAGAAAGGTATAGGCGTAATGAGCTCTGGATGCAGCACATCTGTTCAGTCATTGCTGTAATATGTCGGATATTTACTCATGCATTTGTGACTGTTTAAGGTCTCTGGTTTATAATCAGATTATTACATATTATTCTATATATAGGTCTATAGTGGTTTTCCAACGTGCAACAACATAACCAAACAGAACCAAAGGCTGAATGTTCCAAGCTCTCTCCTCGTGATAGAAATGAGCCACTCTGAATATGAAGTTCACCAGTTTGACCGAAGAACTTTCCTTCATGAGGAATGGGATGAAAATAACAACAAGCCTTTCTGTGTTTTGCTGAAGTCTGACTGTAAGTCTGACTCTGCACCACTTCTGTCCTGTACAGTCGTGTCATGGGTCGTCACAAACAGCAGAGGCATAAATCCTCTCCCCTGCTGTCAGTGTTCAAGTAGAAGGCTCAAACCGAGAAAGACAGCCCATTCTGCTGCTATCTACCCACACACACACACACACACGCACACACACCCACGCACACACACACAAAAAAACACA